AAACATCCAGTGAGCGGCAGTTCTGTGGGCGGAAATGCCTTGTTGATGCAAAAGGTCAGAGGAGAATGGCCAGACTGGTTGGAGCTGATAGAAGGGCAACAGTGACTCAAATAACCACCCGTTACAACCAAGGTGGGCAGAAGAGCATCTCTGAACGCACAGTACGTGGAACTTTGAGGCAGATGGGCTACAGCAGCAGAAGACCACACCGGGTGCCACTCCTTTCAGCTAAGAACAGGAAACTGAGGCTACAATTTGCACAAACTTATCGAAATTGGACAATAGAAGATTGGAAAAACGTTGCCTGGTCTGATGAGTCTCGATTTCTGCTGCGACATTCGGACGGTAGGGTCAGAATTTGGCATCTACAACATGAAAGCATGGATCCATCCTGCCTTTTATCAACGGTTCAGGCTGGTGGTGGTGGTGTCATGGTGTGGGGAATATTTTCTTGGCACTCTTTGGGCCCCTTGGTACCAATTGAGCATCGTTGCAACGCCACAGCCTTCCTTAGTATTGTTGCTGACCATGTCCGTCCCTTTATGACCACAATGTACCCAACTTCTGATGGCTACTTTCAGCAGGATAATGCGCCATGTCATAAAGCTGGAATCATCTCAGACTGGTTTCTTGAACATGACAATTAGTTCACTGTACTCAAATGGCCTCCACAGTCACCAGATCTCAATCCAATAGAGCATCTTTGGGATGTGGTGAAACGGGAGATTCACATCATGGATGTGCAGCCGACAAATCTGCGGCAACTGTGTGATGCCATCATGTCAATATGGACCAAACTCCCTGAGGAATGCTTCCAGCACCTCGTTGAATCTATGCCACGAAGAAATGAGGCAGTTCTGAAGGCAAAAAGGGGGTCCAACCCGTTACTAGCATGGGGTACCTAATAAAGTGGCCGGTGAGTGTATATCATAAGATACAATAAAAGTCCCATGCAAAAAATGACTTTAACATGAAATAAGTAGATGCAACATTTATTTACCTAATACAGGGTTTCCCACACATTTCAGCCTGTGACTCAATAAATAACAATCCAACAGACTGTCTAAAAATACATTTACACTTATAACTTCGCTTTATATGTATGTATACAGATCAAGTCAAGTAATTATATTCCCTTTAAAACACATGTAATCTTTTAAATGACATGTGATCATTTAAATCATTTATTTTTTTTGCAATACTTGGTAATTGAACTGTGCATTTGGAGAATTGAATGTTTTAGATAAATAAACAAAAAGAAAAATGTTACACCAACTCATTTCATTATACATTTAATAATTCACATTTATGTATTTCATGATGTGTTTTTTTTTTTGCTATCCATATACCTCAGCGTCCATACCCCAATGATTTTGAAAAGCATTTATGACTCCACACTGACAGTTAACTCCGTAGACAGACACTGTCCCCTGACCTCCACTTTAAGAACTCCTGATCTAAAATATTAATTTGAAAATTAAAATCCATCATTAAAATAAAAAAAGTAAAAAAAAAAAAAAGAAAAAAAGTGAAAAAGTTTTTGAAAAACTACATAAAAAAAAGAAATGTGAAGAATAAATAATAGGTATATGAAAAAAAAAGGAAACTCTTTAAAAAGTTTCTCCAGAAACCTTTTTTTGAATAAAATGTTTTTCCAAGTTTTATTTCTGGATTGAATTTTTTTTCCACTTCACAAAGCGTGTCTTTCTTACTTTCATCTACTAAACGCTTGCAATGATATGGAACATGTTAATAGATGTTTGAGATCTGCCTGTTTTTCCAGTGTAGTCCTGTTTCTCTGACTGTGACTAACTGGATGTGCTCTCTTCATCCTCTGACATGGGAGCTGGCTCGGAGTTCGTCTGCCTGGCTTTGTGTTTCCTGGAGGGGGCCGCCTTTTACAGTTGCCTTTTGTATCTATGCTTCTTTTTCTATGTCTGCTTCCGTCTCCTTGAACCCCAGTTGGCCTCAGCAGATGGCCGCTCACACTGAGCCTGGTTCTGCTGGAGGTTTCTTCCTGTTCAAAGGGAGTTTTTCCTCTCCACTGTCGCTACAAGCATGCTTAGTGTGAGGGATTGCTGAAAAGTAAATGAGTCGATGCAATCAGCTGGTTTTCCTTAGAAATAAAACTGTGATTCAATTTGACTGGATGATCTGGTGAACTGGAAAGTGCCTTGAGATGACATGATGTGAATTGGAGCTATAGAAATAAACTGAATTGAAATTACTTACTAACTTTCAGGCATCATATTTTTGTTGTTTTTTATAGATAGATAGATAGATAGATAGATAGATAGATAGATAGATAGATAGATAGATAGATAGATAGATAGATAGATAGATAGATAGATAGATAGATAGATAGATAGATAGATAGATAGATAGATAGATAGATAGATAGATAGATAGATAGATAGATAGATAGATAGATAGATAGAAAGAAAGATAGATAAATAGACTGGAAATGATAAATAAAATTAAAACCAATAAAAATAATTTGATCCGAAAACATTCAATGAAAACTACTGATGGACGCAAGAGATGGAACATATGATGTAAATGGTTAATATGAGTTCTCCATCAACCAGCAGGACAACATCCTGCATGTTTCCTTTTAGAACACAAACACCTTTACTGTACATCTCCAGACCCCGTCTGTCTTCCCTTCATCTCACTCTCCTTCTCTCTCATGCATAAACATAGAAATCTGTCGTGTTTTTGTTCAGAGATCTGATCTACATGCAGAAACATTCAAAGAAGCTGGTTGAACATTTAGAAAAAAGGTTTATTTGAGTACTAATGGCCCTCAGGGATACGAGTCCACAGTCAGTTTGCTCCAGATTGTTTGACTTTGAACCATCAGAGTTCCTGGAACGTACAGATTTGATGATGAGAACGATGAAGGATGAAAAAGAGGGATCTTGAGCTGAGTCAGGATTTTCAGAGAGCAGCTTGGCAGACTAGACTCTTAAAGGTGATTGGAGAGTGAGCAGGTTCTGATCTCAAAGGGTTCCAGAGTGAGAGGAGGACTTCTGCCAACCTGGACGCAGAAACAGGGTGAACTCGGAAACAGTTTGACAAACCTGGAGATGATAATAGGAACCAGAGGCAAGAACTGAATCAAGAGGAGAACAAATGGGTAAAAACAAGTTAAAAGCAAAACTACAAAGTTAAAAGGTTTTCAGGATCACAGACTGGGGTTTAACTATTGGATGGAAAGGGAAAATTGAAATGAAGATACCTGGACCTGCTGACTCAGCCAGCTGCTCTCTGCTGCCATCTGGGGGAAAAAAACTAGTGTTGCACCAATGCCATTTTTTGGCCCAGAAACTGTTAACCGATACCTGGCTGTGCAGTATTGGCCCATACCGATACCATCTGTTTAAAATTTATATATATATATATATTATTTTTTTTATTTTTTATTTTTTTATCAATTTTTTGTTCCAGATGTTATTTCAATAGTAGCTTGATGTCACATTGAGCTCACTGACTGTTCTTTGTTTTGACAAATTAAAAACTAATTTAACCAGTGTGGATACCAACATGCCAGCTGCAGGTGTAGTGACCAATAGTTCTGTTATCAGCTAATAAATTTTGAACTTTCAATGCAGAGGTTGAGCCTCATTAAATGGACAATTGCTTCGAAGTAAAACGCAAATCTACTTATTTTGTGAAAAACTGATTTTAGATGAAAGTGCTCTACACTTGACATCTATTGTTAAATGTATTCGTACCTCAGAGAAGATTAGAAACAGGAGAAAAACAGTAAATTGGATATTTTCACCTAAATCACTCGTGCAAACAATTTAAGAATAAAATAGCACTTCTATTCAGAACAGTTCTACCACGAGGCCCAATGACTAGTGGAACCAAACACTAGGATTTCTGATGCATGACTGGACAGAGGAGTCAAGAAAACCAAGGTGACTCACTGTGGACACTTCATACAGTGGACACTTTAGACAGTGAACACCTCAGACTGTGGACACCTCAGAGATTAGAGACTTCAAACAGGGGACCTCTCAGACTGGGGAACAACCACCTGTATATGCCTCAATAAACTCATCAGGCAACTGACACTTTAAACATAGAACTTGTTGTAATTTACGGTCCTACTTTCATCCAAATGGTTCAGTTTTGTCCCAGCATGTTGGATCCTGTCAGAGAAGCTCTGGGTGGAGCAGCTCATCTTTTCAGAGCTCAGCTGTCAGATCCTGAGCTTATCTTCTAATCCAATTCTGATGTTAAGCCTGAGATTATTTTTTAGTTGCATTGTCTTTATTTAGTTTTCTGTTGTTTTCTTTCATCTTGCTTATCACAAAGACGTAATTTTCTCTTCATTCTCTAAACTTTTGTTAGTTTTATTAACAGATGGATTAAAAAAATGCATATTCTGCACATTTAAAAGGTAATTAATGTTAATTCAGCACAGTGGCCTCCTCTTCGGCCGGGAAGCGGCGCTTTTAGCGGTGTTTCCGTTGATTTGTGTTGTTAAAGGGTTGCCATGGTGATCTGATTAAACATGTCAGGTTATGCTTTACTGTTTATAGTTACAGTTTATCTTCTGGACCAGTTGATGATCGCTCATCTCTCTTAAAATTAATGAAGCCGGGGTGTGCTTGAAACCCCAGCCGGCGCACGCCTCCGTTGTGCAGGGCGGGCGGGGTCGGACTGCTTCAGTTCCACGTCACTCGGTTGCCTGTTGTACACTCCTCTGCCGGGGGGTGGAGTTAATCGATCCGATCGGGACCTGGATCATTGGTCACGTGGCATCCAATAAAGCCCTGATTGGCGGATGTTGAACACGTGCCGCTCTGACACGTTGTCATAGAGACTAGCCCCACCCACCACGTTAAGCGTCGCTTCCCCGGCTTCAGAAACAAATGCTTTCTGAGATGTGTTGATGGGCGGGGCCTAAAATACGAGCGAAGACGGGATTGGCCGATCGCAGCGGCAGCGGGCTGCGCTCTGATTGGTCAGAAGTACAGAGAGGAGCTGTCGGTCAAACACAAGCCCCTCCCCTAGCTCAGACTGCGGAGCGCTCCGGGACCAGGACCCAAGGATTCTGGACTTTGTTGCTTGGAGGGTGTGATTGATCAGGATAAACGGAACCGATCAGCTGATCGATGTCCCGGCTGCTGGAGAGCAGGAGGGAGAAGGACAGGATGAAGGAGACCAGCCTGAAGGTAAGCCCGGAACCCTACCGCGCGCGTGCACGACCACTTTCATCATCCTTAGTTTATTTTGGGTCAGACGGAACCGACAACCCCGAACACATCAGTTCGGTTACCGGTCCCAGTCTGGAGTCTTACTGGTTTAGATCTGGTGTTTCTGACCACATCTGGAAACTACAGATCAAACCGCTGGTTCCGTTACTTCAGCCAAACCTGGACTGGTTCTGAGCTCGGTTCCGGTTCGGTTCAGGGTTCGGTTTTGGGGCCAGTTTAACAGAAACGAAGAAGGAAAGTTCTGAGCTCAGAAACGGGAAACAGATTTTTTTCCCCTTCCTTTCCGCTAACTCAAACGAGCACGCGCTTTTTTTCTGCCACGCGCGAGTACGCGTGCGTGTTTGCGTGGGTCAGTGTGTGCGTGTCCGCGAGGAAGCGTGGGCCGGTACCGTTGTGTTCGGTGCGTTTGGACTTTTTTGAAGGAGGCAGCGTGGCCGCTTTGTCCTGCAGGAGGAAGCAGGGGGGGGGAGGGGAGGATGCGCGCGCCTCCGTGCGATTCGCCGCGCGCGTGTTTGTGTCTTACACAGGAAGAGATGGGCAGGACTGCAGGTCTGACCTCTGACCTACAAAACCCAAACAAACTGGTTCTGATTGTGAGGATCGGTGTGTCAGACCGTTACTCTCCTCATCTGGACTATCTCCTCTGATCCAGATGGAAAATCTTCTCCTTTCCTGAAGAAACAAAAGAAACAAAGACAGATATGTGAACAGAATCGGATCCAGACCTGGTTCCTGTGACCAGAACCTCCTCCTTCCTGGAAAACACCCAGAGAGGCGAGAAAGCGTGGGAACAGCTGCTCTTCAGCATGGTGGAGACGGTGTGGTGGTTGGGGTCGATGTCACAATCAGACAGCTGCTGATTTAACTGTGAATCATCAGAGACGGTGGAAATGAGCCGGAGTTACTCAAATCATGATTTGTTCAGTAGAATAAAGATTCCCCCAAAGTAGAGATGACAGAAAAACTGAGCAAAGGTCTGATCATAATGATCTGGTTAGATCAGGGGTGGGCAATTCCAGTTCCTGGGGACCGGTATCCTGCAACTTTTAGATCCATCCTTGGTCCAACACACCTGAATCAAATGGCTGAGTTACCTCCTCAGTATGCAGTCGGTTCCTGCAGAGTCCTCCCAATTATCTGAGCACTTGATTCAGGTGCGTTGAACCCATGGCACATCTAAAAGTTGCAGGATACCGGCCCTCCCGGAACTGGAATTGCCCACCCCTGGGTTAGATGGTAGGAACCAGTTACACTGATCCCAGACCAGTATAGACTGACCTCAGACCAGTATAGAGTGACACCAGACCAGTATAGACTGATCCCAGACCAGTATAGAGTGATACCAGACCAGTATAGACTGATCCCGGACCAGTATAGATTGATCCCAGACCAGTATACACTGATCCCAGCCAGTTTAGACTGATCCCAGACCAGTATAGACTGATCCCAGACCAGTTTAGACTGACCTCAGACCAGTATAGAGTGATACCAGACCAGTATACACTGATCCCAGCCAGTTTAGACTGATCCCAGACCAGTATAGACTGATCCCAGACCAGTTTAGACTGATCCCAGACCAGTATAGACTGATCCCAGACCAGTATAGACTGATCCCAGACCAGTATACACTGATCCCAGCCAGTTTAGACTGATCCCAGACCAGTATAGACTGATCCCAGACCAGTTTAGACTGACCTCAGACCAGTATAGAGTGATACCAGACCAGTATAGACTGATCCCAGACCAGTATAGACTGATCCCAGACCAGTATACACTGATCCCAGCCAGTTTAGACTGATCCCAGACCAGTATAGACTGATCCCAGACCAGTTTAGACTGACCTCAGACCAGTATAGAGTGATACCAGACCAGTATACACTGATCCCAGCCAGTTTAGACTGATCCCAGACCAGTATAGACTGATCCCAGACCAGTTTAGACTGATCCCAGACCAGTATAGACTGATCCCAGACCAGTATAGACTGACCTCAGACCAGTATAGAGTGATACCAGACCAGTATAGACTGATCCCAGACCAGTATAGAGTGATACCAGACCAGTATAGACTGATCCCGGACCAGTATAGATTGATCCCAGACCAGTATACACTGATCCCAGCCAGTTTAGACTGATCCCAGACCAGTATAGACTGATCCCAGACCAGTTTAGACTGACCTCAGACCAGTATAGAGTGATACCAGACCAGTATACACTGATCCCAGCCAGTTTAGACTGATCCCAGACCAGTATAGACTGATCCCAGACCAGTTTAGACGTATCCCAGACCAGTATAGACTGATCCCAGACCAGTTTAGACTTATCCCAGACCAGTATACACTGATCCCAGACCAGTATATGTACAGATCTCAGACCAGAGACACTGGTAGCAGACCAATTAATAACAAGAGTTTAATTATTTTCCCTTTAATCCTTCTCGGGTTTATTTCTGGGATTTGATCAGAGAAGACTGATCGACTGCTTTGTCAGTAAATTCTACTAACATGATAATTACTTCATTCTGATGAGTCTGCTCATCATTTAAGCCGTTATCGGTCACCTGATTGGGCTGCATTCTGATTGGCTGGTCCGTCTCAGGTGCGTCCTCCGTGCCCCGACACTGATGTCAGTGTCACATGACCACACAGCGGAGCATTGTGTTCTTCATCCTCATGAAGATGAGGCAGAGCGGGTGTTCACACGCCTACGACTCGCTGAAGCATCCTGTGCGTTGCCATGGTTACCTGCAGGTTACAGCAGCGCCGTGTGCCCACTCACACTCACTGCTCAAATATTGATCCAAGCTTTATGATAAAAAAAAATAAAACAGGCAGTATGAAGGATTTATGATCAGTTATCTGCTGATCCTGGTTTGTTTTCCAAACTTTTAATTTACCAGACAGTGAAGGCAGAGATGAACCGAGGTCAGAGGTCATTAAACATGAATCTGTAGTCTATACAAACCCCATATATATATATATATATATATATATATATATTACGTCCCAGTAACAGACCAGTTAAAAACAGATTGTCTTTGTTTTCTGGACCAGACCCAGAGGTTCTGCGGGGTTCTGATCTGTCTGTTGGTGGGGGTGACCCAGTTGGGCCTATGAACAGCAGCCATGGTTCTGTCAGCGTAACCCAGGGCAGCGGTGGAGCCGCTGTCTATCTCTCAGCAGTCTGTGGGCGAAAGGCGGGTGACAACCTGAACAGGTCACCAGTCTGTCACAGGCGCACTTTCCATTATAGGAAATGTTTTTATTTTTAATTTTAGTTCCTTTCCGTAAAGAAATGTACGCTTTTTTTAAATTGAATTAAAAAAAGTGACATTGTAGGTCTTTCGATTTAAAAACGCAAACAAATGTCCTGCAGTTGATGCTGTAATCAATGAGCTCCTTTGTTTAATGCAGCTTTTGTGGCTCTAAGCAAATTGGACCGAGGTTAAAATGGTTGTAAACATGGCTGACTCCTGCTGCAGGAGGTCGGAGGTCACACACCTGTATCCAGGTATCAGAATACTGATAATAATTCCAGTTCCAACGTTGCACAGCTGCCGTCCTGCAGGAAGCGACGTTCTGTGCAAAGTTCTGGGACCCAGTCGGTACCGGTAGCTTCGGTTCTGGTTTGTTTCCAAATGTTTGTGGTACCAGTGGAGTTCTGATCCCTGCTGGACCTATAAGGATGAGGTCAGATGTGGTTTAGACTGGTGACCCTGATTTGGTTCTGATCCGAGTTGCAGAACAGAACCTTTGCTGAGAGAAACCGGCTGAGTTTGGTCTGTAGGTTCTACCTATGGGCTCATCTTCCTCCATGACTCTCTCTCTGTTCTAACCTTAAACTCGCTCGCCCGCTCCGTCCCATGACACCCCCCCCCCCCCACCCACTAACAGAGCTCTCTTTCTTCTTCTTCCTCACTGAACTCTTTATTCATCCATCAGCTGATCACTGACTGTCACTACTTACTGAGAACTGCTTCTTCACTGAATCGGTTGGTTCTGATCCATACGGACCCGCTTTGAGCTCCGATCCGATCCGTTTACAGAACGGTTCTGATCACATAGATCCAGTCAGCAGAGGAACATCTGGACGTATTTTCTGATGAAAACCTTTAGTTCTGTTGGTGAAAAGCATCATGGGAGTTGGAGTCCTGCCTACTTCCTCTGTTTGTTGTTTCTAAATAAGTAAGTCATCAGCTTTCAGATCAGCTGAAAGTGGATCCGTGATCTGAGGTCAGTGATGCATAAAGAAGGGGCGGGGCCTGTTGGTGATTGGTTAATATTGGGCGGGGCTGAATTAAAGACGGCCCAAAGCAGATGAACACAGATGTTCTCATCTCCACAGAAGCTCCAATAATCCCTCATCGGTTTGGTTAGTGATACCAGCCCTTCGGGTCCCACACCCTGAACCGTAACCAGAACCCCGCCCTCTAAAGCTGGACCTGTGGTTAGAACCGGCTTCATAATGAGTCTGTGTTGTAATCCTGAGACTGATTCTCATGAAGACAGATGGACTTCCTCTTCCTGTTTAGAGAAACAGACAGAACAGAAGAACGCAGAAGTTCCCATGGAGACTTGATGACAGAGTCCTACTCCCCCACACGGTTCTGGTCCGGTCCAACCGAGCCCTCCGTGACCCATTGACTGAGGGGGTGTTGCTGAAGCAGACCTCTTTTTATGGTCGCTGTAAACAGACAGACCCAGAGATCCCATCCCTCTGATTGGCTGAACCATGAAGTCAACACGTCATCTCAAGGCTCTTTCCAGTTCACCAGATCATCCAGTCAGATTGATTTAATGTTTTCTATCTAAGGAAAACAAGTTGATTGCATCGACTCATTGACTCTTTCACATAAGCATGCTTGTAGCGACAGTTGAGAGGAAAAACTCCCTTTGAACAGGAGGAAACCTCCAGCAGAACCAGACTCCGACGAGCTCTGAGCCAGCTCCCATGTCAGAGGATGAAGAGAACACATCCAACGGACCATGAAACGGACCACTTCAGAACCTCTGGCCCATTGGACCGGAGGTTTCTTCACTAGAACCTAAATAGTCAAACTTTAGAGATCCTTGCTTGATTTCAGCTTTTAATTCCACTCAGGATTTCTGAACTGAATCTCAAAACATTCGTAAGAGACAGATCCAGTTCAGATCAGTCACTGAACTCTGATTTGTTCTGGAAGCTGCTGAGTTTAGAGGACTTTTAATTAAAACAGGAGTTGATTCTGACCGATGGTTCCGCCGGCGAAACGCTGCAATCTGTTTTTGGCTCAGATTTCTCTCAGGAAGTCAAAACGCTAAACAAACAGAGAGGACGGCTACTTTGTCTGCAGCTGAGCTCTGATTGGTTGCTACAGGAAACCTTCATGCATCCCTTAAACAGAGTAGAAAATCCCTTTCATGTCCCACAATTAGGAAATTCTTGTTTACATTAGCAGCAAGGTTATAGAAAAAAATGGTCACACAAATGTGGACCTTAGAAAAAATGTATTAAAATAACATAATACTGAAGATTTAAAAGAAAAACAGTAGAATACTGTACTGTAAGGTATTTTTATAGTATGAAAACTGTTCACCTGGAGAATAAACAACCAATATTCAGCTGTAGAGATTGGATATTTGTGCAAAATCAGCCTGAATGTAGCAACCTATTGAGGTTGGCGGGAACAGTGATGGTTGTAAAGTCTTCCAGCTGCTGAGAGGAAGGATCTGCGATGACGCTCCCTGGCGCTTAAAGGTCAGTCGGCTGATGAACCCAGAAGAAAACACGATGAGCCGACGCAGAAGCTTTCCTTTATATCTAAAGGTTTGCAGACAAGAGAAGGTCTTTCAATCGATTCGATCAAACAATGACAGGGGTTGACTTAAGGATTTTTACTATTTGCCTGAAGGGCAAGTGACTTTCACATTTCATTTGCCCAGAAACAATTTTTACTTGCCCAGTATAAAAATCCTTAACATCAACCCCTGCCAAAAGAAATATTCCAAAAAAATTTATGAACCAATCCCCTGGACTTTGTTTCCAAATTTGAAGGCGTTTCTCCATCCAGGAAGCTTTTTGAAATGACTATAACCTGGATGACTGAGAATCTTCACGATCTAAGGAGAAGCTTCATCTGGTCAGGACCTGTAATTCAGTGAAAGGTTGGAGTCAGAGTAAAAAAATATGCAAGAGGGAGTGACTCAAGTGGATGGAAGTTGGAGGGGATTTCGCTGGGAGTTGCGGGGAAGTGGGATGCCTTCCGGCTGCCATTCCGCTGCATTCCGGCTGCCTTTCGGCTGCCATTCGGCTCGGAAGGGCCATTTTGAATGGTTGCTAGTGTACTCTAACTTCTATAAATGTTTTTAAACTATAGGATTACGGTTAGGGCTGGGTATTTTCCTGAATCGATTCGATTTTGATTCATTCAGTTCTAAATCGATTAATTTCGATTCGATCTGTTTTTACAATGACGAAAGTGGTTCAACTGTGTTTCATAATACTAATGTATTTATTTTTTACATTAAAAACACAAAGTGCAAACTTGTAAATCAGACAGTTTAAACTTGAGATGTGAACAAAACTGTCTCAAAAGTGCAAAGTTGTTTGTGAAAAGTGAAAAAGTGAAGCCTTACTTGAGCAAGCAGACGTGACACAGCAGACATGCATGAGCTGGATTATCTTCAATGCACAAACCATATTAGCAGCGTTGTCTGTAACAACTACAGGGTGTTTTCTGGTCAGCCCCCATTTGTTAATGTCTTCAGTCAACCTATTGGCTATATTTGCAGCTGTGTGGCTTTAAGTCATTTTGGTGCATCTTTCCTGCTCATTTGAATGTAAACCTCACGCGGGTCACTATAAAATTAATTAATCTCATTCCCTAGACATTGATTTTGCAAAAATGTAAAGGAATCGATTAAATCAATTTTTTTACCTAGCCCCAATGACGATACTCCGGTGTTATTTCTATTTGTATATCTTGCAGTAATGTCCTTTTGCAAATAAAGTTTTAATACAGCAATTCTGTCTTTTGTTTCATAAACTGTACATTCTATAAAGCTACTTCCTGCAGCAAAAAAAACAAAATGCATTCGCAAAACCCAGGTGTGACCTTATACATACAATAGACAGTTACTTTCTATTATATAAGGGCACACCTGACATATATAAAATAATGCAGTTTCTGTAATTTTAGCCGATGTGTTTTTTTTCATTGTGTTATGATTGACTAAATGTTCCTGTTGGAAGAGAAGAAGTGTATTGAATAATTATTTGATTTTGTTAGACATAGTGTGTTGTGTTAGTTTATTATTGTATTTTAGTTTAGTTTACAATGTGTGAATTTGAACATGAAATTAACAGTTTTGTCAGTTGTATGTTTTAGGTGTTTTGGTGCGTTAAGAGTTTAGGGGAACCTGTTAAATGTATAGAAAACTCTGTCTTAGCAATAAAAAAAACTGTAATGTTTTCTATTCAATTCAGTTTATTTCTATAGCTCCAATTCACATCATGTCATCTCAAGGCACTTTCCAGTTCATCAGATCATCCAGTTAGATTGATTCAAAGTTTTCTATCTAAGGAAAACCAGCTGATATCATCGACTCAAAGGCAATCCTTTACACTAAGCATGCTTGTAGTGACAGTTGTTACGTCTTTTGGCTGAGTCTAGGGGGTGTAAGGGACCAACATAAATGTAGACAGTGAATGAAGGAGTCAAAAGGGCATTTAAAGGTTTTATTCTGCCATTTCTTGTTAATAAATTATGGTAAAAGCTTCAGGGACAAAATAACAAACAAAACAACACAAAGGAAAAAAGAAAATGGGACTTGCCTAACTCAATATGAAACCAAAATATACAAACCTACAAAATAACCTACCTAACCAACACATAAACAGGAGAAAACTGGGGTTAAACAAAAGGGCAGCTCTCCCCTACAAAATCATCCAAACAGGTCTACCTAACAGCCCATTAGATTGAGCAAGGATCACAGAGATGTATGGAAGACAAATGGCTCAGAGGCCCTGAAGTACTGCTTCACAGGCCTTAAATAGTCTTCAGGTGATCTTGATTGGACTGAGACTCAGGAAGCAGCAGCCAGTTTTAAAGGCGGAGCCTAAAACAGAGCAAGGTGTTAATTGGATGCAAAAACAAAGACGTCCAACTTGGGGATGTAACACAGTGAAGAGGAAAAACTCCCTCCTACTGGAGTATTAAACATTAATACTTATGACAGCTCTGCTAGGAACCGGCTGGACTGTTGAACCTGTTCAGGATCTGATTGATTGTATTTCTGTGCATAATGGGATCTGCTGTCTTTCGTAAACATCGAATAAACTGAATTAGCTGTAAAATCACACAGGTTATGGAGTCAAAAAGTTGCATTTGCTCATTTAATTTCATAAAACGCTTAGTTATGGGCTAAACCACATATCAGGTGTCCCCCACCCACCCACCCGACCTCGCCCAGGTAGAGCTGGTCTCCAGGTGTTTGCTCAGCCCCTCCCTCCGCTCTCCTCTTTGTTCCCCACATAGACAGAAACCTAAAACCAGGTCTGAGTGTCTGATGAAACAAAAGTTCACCTGTTCCCTCGCTCCATTTCTCATAGCTGTGGTCACACCGCTGATCCAGCGCCGCCAGACTGCATCAAATGGTGTCTGATTGTTGGAGCTAAATGGTAGCAGTGACTTTAAACCGGCACGACAACAGCGCTGACAGCTTTTAAACGTTTTTTTTAATTCTTTCTTTGCTTCAGAACAAGGAGAAGGAGCGCCTGAAGGAGCGCGAGAAGGAGACGAGAGAGCGGGAGGCGCGTTCCAGCAGCGGTCACCTCTTTACCTCGCTGAGCGTGTCGGCCACCACGCTCTGCTCGTCCTGCAACAAGAGCATCACAGCCAAGGAGGCGTTGAGCTGCCCAGGTAAGCACACCTGAGCCTGCTTTTATCCTCAGAGTGAGAACAACGTTTAATAGTAAATCAGAAGCAGAATATTTTTTTTGGTTTTTTACTTTTACTGTAACAATAATACAGGAGAGCAAAATAACGTTCAATAAAGCCACAAAGGTGAGGATCTAAGGTGAGGATTTAATGTAGGGTGGGTTACTGGTCCTCCTCTTTTTATTAGGCCTGGGTTTTAATCCAGGTGAGTCAGGTTTAGGTTAGGACAGGTGTAAGGCCGGAGGAAGAGCTGAAAAAGAATGAAAGTTAAAGGAATCTCTTCAGTAAGTCTACCAGGACCATTTCTCTTATTCCATCATCAAACTAAGGATATTTATCTGGGGCTCTTTTTCTTTATTGCTAACCATGAGTATTAGGACTCATGGAGCTTTCACACCAAACGCATTCCAGCAATTAATTCGCCCGACTCGAGTGCCATCTATCGCCCGACATATAAACATGGAGGATGACAAGGTTAGTCCTGTCGCCTTACAGCGTCGTCCAGTAATTTCAATTCAGTTTATTTCTATAGAGCCAATTCACATCATGTCATCTCAAGGTACTTTCCAGTTCACCAGATCATCCATTCAGATTGATTCAAAGTTTTCTATTAAAGGAAAACCAGTTGATTGCATCGACTTATTGACTCTTCAGCACACTAAGCATGCTTGTAGGGACAGTGGAAAGGAAAAACTCCCTTTTAACAGGAAGAAACCTCCAGCAGAACCAGGCTCAGTGTGAGTGAGAATGATGAAAAGGGGTCCCTATGTCCTCCAGCAGTCTAAGCCTATAGCAGCATAACTATAGAGATAGCTCAGGATAACCTGAGCCACTCTAACTAGAAGCTTTATACAAAAGGAAAGTTTTAATCCTAGCCTTAAAAGTAGACAGGGTGTCTGCCTCACGGACAGTAGAGGAAGCTTCTACCTACTGCTAGCTAGTTTCATCACAACATGGCTGACCTGGATTTATTGAGCGAGTAGCTGTGCTTTATTCAACAAGAAAAGCAGAACATTGGCGGCGGCGTCCACCAGATCCTCCAGAGAAGCTCCCAGTTCAGCCAGTCCAGAAGTCACATACTATGGCGGAGTGTTTGTGCCAAAATTAGACCACTGTCTACGCAGCATGAGGTACGGCTTGATCGTGGTCATTTCCTGTGGTGCGTAACGCCTGGTTAACAGAGCTACTCAACATCACAGGACTCCCCCAGGGTTGCCCTCTATCACCCGTCCTGTTTTTGTTTTTTGTTTTTATTAGGTCAATGCACAATTATCAACATGTCAGTATAAAGCATCAATGTAAATATGCCATAATTAGCACAACAGCTAATTTGCATCCGCTATCCTAAGGCAGGTAAAAACAGTGAACATTAAACAAGACACTACAGGAGAGAACGGAGTGGACACAAACAGATAAGATGCCAATAACATAAAATCACAATAAAATGAGGTTAACTGGCCCATGGAAACAGATCAATTTACCTTTGAACACATGTCTGGTTAGTTTTCAACCAATGTTTCAAAGAGAATTTAAAAAGTATGTAGGTTCCACAGCCCCTAACATGAGCTAGCAGTGTATTCCATAACTGTGCTCCTCTGATGGATGCAACCATTTGGCCAAATTTGGTCCTACGCCGCTGATCATTACAGTCTCCTCTGGTTAAAGCTCTTGTGTTTATTCTAGTCATGTTTTTTTGCTTATAAAATCTGTTAGAGGAGGAGGAGCACGTCCATTTAAAACTTTAAAAGCAAGGCATGCATCCAGAAACATCTGATGACGTTCAAAGTCTAATTACTTAAAATGTTACAATAATGATAATGTACAGGTTTTTTATCAAGAACTTTCAGAGTTGTCTTGAAGAGAGACTGTAGGGGTTTCAGAATGGCCTTTGAAGTGTCAGACCATGTGGTATGGCAGTAGTTTATCATGGTTACCATGGTTCTCAGCTGAAAACTGTTTCCTTCAGGTCGGAGGCGAGTTCCTGCCTCAAGTGGAGGAGTTCAAGTATGTTGGGGTCCTGTTAATTAGTGGGATTGATTCCGTAAAAATTCAAAACATATCCACTGGACTTGGTTTTCAAGATTTGAAGACGTTTCGCCACCTCTCCAGGAAGCTTTCTCAATTCAAATGTCTGGATCCGCAGTGAGTTTGAGTCTTATATAGACAACGCCTTGTATCGCTTTTAACGACCGACCCCTAGAATCATAGACAGGTTCAGATATTACAGGCTAACGATGGAACTAACGACCCATTCATCGGTTACCATTGCATGTTTCCAAGCGATACAAGGCGTTGTCTATATAAGACTCAAACTCACTGCGGATCCAGACATTTGAATTGAGAAAGCTTCCTGGAGAGGTGGCGAAACGTCTTCAAATCTTGAAAACCAAGTCCAGTGGATATGTTTTGAATTTTTACGGAATGACTATGACCTGGATGACTGAGAACCTTCATCAGCATAGTGGGATTGATAGATTGATCGGTGCGGTTGCTGCTTAACCTGACTCCGCCAGATGGATTTGCTCCTCATATCCATCTGGAAACCTTCGGTTGAAGTAATTTTGGGAAGGGGCGAAAATACTGGTTAGCTGATTGGCCTATGTTGGTGATAGACGGGCCAAATAAACCAATCAGATCAACGAAGCATATGACGTACTAACAGCCAGGCTACTCTACTGAAACCAGTCGGGAGAAGAGCAAAAACATCTTTTCCACTGGGAAAAGCCTCCAGAGCAGTGTTTTGCTCTTCTTTCATTGAAAAAATACTGCAATGTAATTCCGATAAAACTTGCTCGATAGCCACGCTAACGCTAGTTTCATCGGCTGAAGCCGCCATGTTCTTTAGACTGAACTGTTGCGCTTCTCGTTGCGTCACACCTCAACCCGCCTCAAAGCCAACACTGATTGGACGTTCATTTGGTGAACGGCTCCAAATTTTCTTCAACGGAGAGTCTCCAGACTGACTAGCGAGCAAAATCTTGAAAGCTCGCGAGATCAGGATGGTCTCACGAGGCTAGTTGCTGCTGTGATGTAGACGCTGAACTGGTCTGTTGTGTTGAAAAGAGAGCTGAGAAAAATTATAAAGCTCTGATTTACCATTAGGTCTACGTTTCTACCCTCATTTATGGTCATGAAATCTGGATCATGACCGAAAGAAGGAGATCCTGGATACAAGTGGCTAAAATTAGCTTCTTCTACTGGGTGGCTGGGCTCTCCCATAGAGAGAGGGAGGAGCATCAGGAAGAGGCTCAGAGTAGAGCTACTTCTCCTCCACATCAAAAGGAGTCGGCTGAGGAGGATCAGACATCTTTTTCAGGTGTCTCCCTAGGGAGGTGTTCCAGGCAATTCCCACCAGTAGGAAGTCCAGGGGACGACCCAGGACAGGCTGAAGGGACTGTGTCTCTGCTGGCCTGGGATCGCCTCAGACTTCCCCCAGCAGAGCTGGAGGAGGAGTCTGGATAGAGGGTCTTGGAGTCTCTGCTGACCCCATCCTGGATGAAGCGGGAGATGAAGAGCACGACTACGTCACTGCTACATCCAGTCCCTGATTGGTTGTCGTGACGATTGTCGCTTTGCATCCTCTGCTGCCGGGTCGCTGTAATCCTCCAAAACTGTCCCTCTCACATCACTTTGCGTCGCATCGCTCCTGAACGCGCCTCTACAGCCGCTCCCCAGAAGCAGTTTTGGTGTGAACGCACCTAAAGATGCAAATCTAGTCTGGGTTACTGTTAGGGTTGGTCTGCGCTGGTAATTGATGGATTCAGTTTTTTTTTTTTGAGTTGGTTCCTCAATGATGAGTTTGGCTAGTTTGATTATTTGAATATGATCTGCAGCTGATGTATCGAAAACACACCCAATACAAGAGGTTTGCAAACATTGTCTGCTAAACAGGAAACAAAATCACTCTGCACTTTCTTTGAAGATCCGCTCTCTGCTTTCAAACATGTTTTTCACCTTTTTTAAGACGCCTGAACCTTCTGAAGATCAGGCCCTGAGAGTTTGCAGCTGATAGTTATACACAAAGATCCTTTTGTCGGTTATTATTAGACGTGAACCGATTCACTCTCAGCCCAAGGAGCGCACTGGTGAAAAGAAATCCCCTTCTAATCTAATCTTAACAGTAAATTTAATTAATCTCCGAGCCCTGAGACAGTGCGAAGTCTTAATGGTTAGAAACATTAACTTATATGTGAGACGCAGAGATAGACAGATGGTGTGTTAATCCAGCCTCACCGCAAACAGTGGACCCCCAGATTAACCCCCCCACCTTCCCCAAAATGTACTTGTTTATGAACATACACTGCAGTTAATCAGAGCCAATACACAGCATAGAATGACAATAATTAACAGTTTTTACCTCCCCAGCATGACATTTTACAGTTTCAGCACCATAATTGACGTCTACTCTTCTTCCTCACAAACTTAACACAAAAATGCGCCTGAAATTGCAGATCTATTTAATGTAATCCAAAAAATTAGGTTGTAATACTTGTTTACTTGAGTAAATCTTTGACAGGACCCCGGCGTTGGCTGAAAGTGTCTTTTTAAAGTCTTAACAAGTATGTTTTCTTTTCCATTTGGTATAATTCCCTTACAATTTGGACCCAGGAGTTGTAGGAAGGCGACTCTGGTTGCTTGAGCTTAACTGTGATGCATTTTAGGGCCGCTGTAAAAAGCATTTAAGATAGGGATGCATGATATTGGGATTTTGGCCGATATCCGATATGTCGATATTTTAAAACTCATGTAGCCGATAACCGATATCGATACCGATGTTAAAGCTGGACAAAAATAAGTAGTCATTGAAAATAGCAGTTTTGTTATCCATTTCTGACACTTTGAAAAATAATAAACTCAAATATACTTTCATATGCTGATATCAAATTGATTTTTAAAAACGCGGTATCGATCTATTTTACTTTCAAAATCTCGTGAAATTTTATCGTTCTGTTACAAACTCTCGTGATATTTTGCAAATTCTTATGAGATTTTGTTAGTAAAATAGATCGATACCGCATCAATATATCAACATATAAAAATATGGCAACATTTCGTGAATTTTCGGGGGATTTTGTTGCATAACGATGACATATAGCAATATTTCATTAGTAAAAGAGATTGATATGGTGTTTTTAAATGGCAATATATCAGCATATGAAGATATTGGGATATTTTAATGGATCAATATTTTTTCCCTCGTCTTTAGAAGTTTTTAAGTCTGTAAAAAAGAAGTTTTTGAGGAAGAAGAAGAAGTAGTATTTTTTTTTTCTTTGGACTTTAGAAACTCAGAAGTTGATCAAATATCGGGTTAAATATCGGTGGGGTGGCCGATGTCCGATATTCAGTTTTAAGGCCGATACAGGCCGATACCGATAGGGGGCCGATTATATCGTGCATCCCTAATTTAAGATATGGTTTAGCTCGTCCTCACAGCCCAAAAGAAATGATACCGAATATTGAAACTATTACATCCTTGGGGATAACCTCCTAAAAGCTCTGGTTTATTCCTTTTATAGATTGTCCCAAAAGTTTTCTAATTTGGGGCATGACCATGTGTATGATTGGGGATTGCAGAGCCACAGTTTCTCCAACACAAACTTAGCGCTTTAGGATCCATCTTAGCTTCTACGTCTGGCATCCTGAAATATCTGCTGAAAATTTTCCATTTATATTCCCCCCATTTTGCCCGTCTCTGCCTCCCATCTTTTGTTTTGTCCAAGTGGCTCCACTAATGTTCATGGACAAAAACATTTATATAATGTTTTTATCAGCTTCTTCACCCCTTTGGAGTTGAATTGGTAATTTCTCTGTTGCACACAGAGCTGTCTGAGGTAAGCGTTGGAGTCTTCCTGTGAGAAAAAAGCAGACGCACTTGCTAACTTTTCTAAAATCGGTGTGAAAACCCTCAGCTGAGTTTTTTTCATTTTACGGTCTCACTGCTGCCCCCTAGAGGGAACAAAGCTGGGCATGAAGTAGGAACTTCCTGTTGAGAAACTCTGACTCAGAGGGATCAAAATGACTCTCCACACCTAGAGACACGCCCTAACATGGACTCTCACAGCCGGGTTGTTTCTCATAAATCGGTTTTAGCGCTGATGTCATTCCTGAACCAAGATACACACAGCTGTGAGACATCTGTTAAATCGTGTGTTCGGTCTGTTGCAGCTGGACTTGAACTTTCAGGACATTTTAAATTATGTCAGAACTTATTTTCAGAGTGATGACCGTTGCTTCAGCGCTGGACGGGCGATTCTGTCTGATTTAACTATATTATACAGTTAAAACCACATATTTACATATGCTGCATCACTCAGACCCATAAACATGCAGAACCTACGTTCATAACCCTCATTAAACCAGACTTAACTTCTCCTGTTTATGATTAACAGAACTTCTTTGTTATTTCTTCTTCTCAGAGAAAAGAAGTCATCACTCTAAAAGCAAAGTAAAAGACTGTTATGATCCCAAGTAATATTTTTGAAACGTGATTTGTGGTCTAAAAAAGCTAAACAAAAATGTTTGGACACGATTTTGATCCTTAAGATGATTTTGATTCGGAAGGAGGAAGGGAGACTAAAGCAAGATTGCTACTGTGAAGCACGGAGGTGGCACCATTATGCTGCAGCGCAGGAAGGATTGCTACTCTTCTTCAAATAGATGATATCAAGTGGGAAAAAAGTGAGGTTTACTGGTTCCAAACATAAATCTTTTTCCCTTCTTTAAACATCATAAAATCTACCTGGTGGCCGGCGAACGTTTTCGTACGTTTCCACCTAACAACTCAGATTGCATGAAAATTAAAACAGTAAAATGTTTACCAATATAAAGAGGTTAGACATGATTAGAAAGCTTAGATTCTCCACAATTTAACCACCAAGTTCTTTTTATGGACACAGCGAGCACCAAAGCACAATTAACAGATATAGCAGCATGGGAAGACAAAGAAGCTGCAACAACATACCTTTGAAGGCGTCCAGAAGCCGTTTTATAAACCCATTCTTTAATTGTTTATACTCCGTTCATCCATAATGGTCCACAGATTAAAAGTAATCCAGTTTATTTGTAGAGGAGAAACTTAACGAACATTTCTGTCTCACAGGATGCAACGTCACTATTCACAACCGCTGCAAACAGCTTTTCCCCCTTTTGGGGCTAAGATAAAGCAGAGGGTAAGACCCCCGGGCCTGTCTAAACCACTGTCTCTTTTTTTTTAACCCCCCTTTTGCCCTGCCCGGGACTGCCTTTCTTTTTTTTTTAAACACCCTTGTCTAAAACCGACTGTCTCGGGTTTTTTACCCGCCCGTCCGACCGTCCTTTTCTCTTTTGTTTTACCCTTCCCCCCGACCGACTGTCTCTTTTTTTACCCGCCCTTGCCCTTACCGACTTTTCTCTGTTTTTCCCCCCGCCCTGTCGATCAAACCTTGCCCTCTTTTGGTTTCCCCGTTTTTTGTCTGATCGACTGTCTCTGTTTTTTACCCTTTTTTCCTTACCGACTGCTCTGTTTGTTACCCCCTTTCTGTCTAAACCGCCTGTCTCTTTTGTTTCCCCCAAGGGTCGTCGACCCGACTTCTCAAGTTTTTTAACCCGTCGGGCCCCTGATGGGGAACTGCCCTTTGTTTTTTACCCCCCTCCCCGCCCCCGGAAGGGTTTCCCCTTTTTTTTACCCGATTTGTCTGATGGGATCTGCCCCTCTTTGTTCCCCTTTCCCCTGTCTACCGACTTCTCTTGGTTTTACCCGCCCTGCCCTGACCGAATGTCCCCCTTTTTGTTACCCCAAAACGGTCCACCGACTGTCTCTGTTTTTCCCCTTTTTCTGCTGATCGACTGTCTCTTTTGTTACCCTCTTTTTTTACCGACTGTCCCCGTTTTTACCCTTCTGCAAAACCGACTGCTCTGTTTTTTCCCCCGTCGTCTGACCGAATTTGCCCTCTGTTGAAACCGTCTGTTTTGCCGGACCCCTCTGTTTTTAAACCCCGTCTGTCTGACGACTGTCTCGGGTTGTTAACCGTCTGCCCTGACCGATTTTGCCCTCTTTTGTTATACCCCGTCTGACCGACTGCCCTCTTTTTGTTACCCGTCTGTCTACCGACTGTCCTCTGTTGAAAACCGTCTGTCTAATCGACTTTCTCGTTGTTACCCGGGTCTGTTTTCCCCGACTGCCTGTTGTTACCCGCCCGCACCGCCCGCCCTTTTTTTTTAACCCCCCTCCGGGCCCTGACCGACTGCCCTCGGTTGTTTACCCTCCTGCTAAACCCCCTGTCTCTATTTTTACCCGCCCTGCCTGACCAAATTTGTCCCCCTGTTGTTTCCCCCGTCTGCCCTGACCGCCCTGATCTGTTGTTTCCCCTCTGTCTGTCGACTGTCTTTTGGGGTTTTTTACCCCCCTTTTTTACCGTGCCCCCTCTGTTGTTTACCCGTCCTTCTGATCGACTTCTCTTTTGTTACCCCCCGCCCTACCAAACGTCCTCTGTTTTCCCCCTTCCGCGGGCCTGACCAAAAACTCCCCCTCCTGTTGTTCCCCGGCTGTCTAAACCAAAACCCCCCTCTTTTTGTAACCCGCCCTTTTCTGATCGACGCCCCTTGTTTTTTAAACCCGGTCGTCTTACCGACTGTCTTTTTTGTTACCTTTCTGTTTTACCAAACTGTCTCTGTTTTTTTACCCTTTCCTGTCTGACCGTTTTCCTCTGTTGTTAACCGCCCCGGGCGGGAACCGACGGTCCCCTTGTTTGTTACCCGTCTGCCCTTGACCGACTGTCTCTTTTGGAAAAACCGTTTGTCTGAACCGACGTCCTGTTGTTACCCGCCCCTGTCTAAACCGACTTTCCCCTGTTTTTAAACCCCGTTCGGTCTTAACCGCCCTGTCTCGTTGTTAACCCGTCGTCTCCCGACCCCTCTGTTTTTAAACCTGCCCGGTCTGACCGCCCGCCCTTTGTTGTAACCCCCCCCTGTCTGTTTCGACTGCCCTCTGTTTTTTCCCCGCCCCTGTTTTAAACCGACTGTCTCGGTTTTTAACCCCTTTCTGCCCGACCGACTGGTCGTTTTTTAAACCCCCTTCGTCTGACCGACTGTCTCTTTTTGAAACCTGTCTGTCTGCCCCGATTTGCCCTTTTTTTGTAAACCGTTGCTGCCCGACTTTTCTCGGGTTTTAAACCCGCCTGTCTTACCGTCTGTCTCTTCGTTTACCAGGGCTTCTGACCACTTCTCTATTGTTCCCCGGGGTTCCCAGACCACCCTCTCTTTTTTTAACCTTTCTGCCCTAAACCCGCCCCGTCTCTATTGAAAAACCTTCCTGTCTGACCGATTGCCCTCTCTGTTACCCGCCCTGTCTCCCGAACTGTCTCTGTTGTTACCCGTCCTGCTGACCACCCCCCCGGTTTTACCCCCGCCCGGGTCTGACCTTTCTGTCTCTGTTTTAAACCGTCTGCCCTTGACCGTCTGTCTCTTTTGGGTTATCCTCTGTTTTAAACCCAAACGGGTCCCCTTGTTTTCCCCGGGCTGTCCTGACCGTCGTCTCTTTTTTGTTTACCTGTCTGTCTGACCGCCCGTCTCGTTTTTCATACCCTTCCGGTCTGAACCGATTTTCCCCTTTTTGTTACCTGTCTGCCCTGACCAACTGTCTCTTTTTTACCTTCTGTCTGACCGACTTTTCTCTGTCTTTTTCCCCCCCTGTCTAAACCGTCGGGCCCTCTGTTTTTTTAAACCGTCTGTCGACCGCTGTCTCGGGTTTTTTAACCTGTCTGTCTGACCGACTTTTCCTTCTGTTGTTCCCCCTGTCTGCCCGGGCCCCAAACTGTCCCCCCTGTCTTCCCCCCGTCTGCCCTGACCGCCCGGGTCTCTGTTTTTTCCCCAACCCCCTGTTTTTAAACCGTTTGCCCTCTGTTGTTAACCCGGCTGCCCAAGCCCCTGTCCTTTTGGGTTAACCCCGCCCTGCCCGGGACCGACTTCTCTGTTGAAACCGGGTCTGCCCTAAATCGACGGGCCCCTTTTTGTTCCCCCGTCTTTTTTCCCGACGGGGTCTCTTTTTTTGAAAACCCCTTTCTGCCCCGCCCCGACTGTTCTCTTTTTTCCCCCGTTTTCCCTGACAACTGTTTTTTTTGGGTTAAACCCTTTCTCCCTAAACCCAAAACTGTCCCCTTTTTGTTACCCCCTGCTGCCCCCGATTTGCCCTCTGTTTTTCCCCGGGCTGCTAAACCCAAACTGTCTCTGTTGTTACCCGTTTTGCCCGCCGACTGCCCTCTTTTGTTACCCCGCCCCCTGCCCTGATCAAACGGGTCTCTGTTGTTCCCCCCGTCTGTCTAAACCGACTGTCTCTGTTTTTTACCCCGGGGCCCGGGTTTTTTTGGACCGCCCGCCCTCTGTTTTTTTCCCCCCCGTCTGCCCTGACCGCGCCCTCTGTTTGTTCCCCCGTCTGTCTGACCAAATTCCTGTCTCTGTTTTTTAACCCTTTGCCCTTTCTGTTTCGACTGTCTCTTTTTTTTAAACCCCCGTCTGCTGCCCCGGCCCCTGTCTCTGTTTTTCCCCCCGGCCCGTCTGCCCCGACTGTCTCGGGTTGTAACCTTTCTGTTGACGACTGTCTCTGTTGTTACCCCGCCCTGTCTTCCCGGGACTGCCCTCTTTTTTTTACCCTTTCTGCCCTTCCCAAACCGTTTTCCGTTTTTTTAACCCTTTCGGGCCCCGCCCCGCCCTTTCTCTGTTTGTTAAAACCGTCTGTCTAAACGGGCCTGTCTCTTTTGGGTTACCCGAAAGTCTGACCCGACTTCTCTTTTGTTAACCTCTTTTTTGACCGACGGTCTCTTTTGTTCCCCTTTTCCCTGTCGACCGCCCGTTCTCTGTTGTTACCCTTTCTGCCCTTTCCACGCCCCTGTTTTAAAACCCGGGCGCCCTGACCCCGCCTGTCCTCTGTTTTTAACCTGCCCTGCTGACCGCGGGTCTCTGTTGTAACCTTCTTCTAAACCGACTTTCCCCTTGTTTTTTACCCCCTTCTTCCCCACCGACTTCTCTGTTTTTACCCTCCTGCCCTGACCGACTTTTTTTTCTGTTGTTAACCTCCGTCTGCCCGACTGTCTCTTTGTAAACCTTTTTCCCCTGACCAAACGCCCCCTTTTTGGAACCTGTCGTCTGCCCGGGCCCCCTTCTCTTTTGTTACCCTCCCCTAACCGGGGCCTGTCCCCCTTTTGGGTAACCTGTTTTTGGTCTGATCGATTTTCCTCTTTTTGGTTTTAAACCCCCGTCCTTGTCTTTACCGACTGTCTCTGTTTGTAACCTTTTTTCTGATCAAACTGTCTCTGTTGTTACCCCTCTGCCCTTTACCAAACCTCTCTGTTGTTACCCGCCCTGTTTGACCGACTGTCTCGGGGTTGGGTTAAACCCCGTTTTGTCTAAACCGCGGGCCCCCTTTTTAAACCCCTTCTGTCTGCCCGGGACTGTCTCTGTTTGTTAACCGCGGGTTTTGACCGCCCCTGTCTCTGTTGTAACCTGCCCTTTGCCCCTGACCGACTGCCCTCTTTTTTGTAAACCTGCCCTGTTTTAAATCGACTGTCTCTGTTGTTCCCCAACCGCTTTCGCCCCCGACTGTCTCCCTTTTGTTCCCCTGCCCGGGCCCCGGGCCGACTTCTCTGTTGTTCCCTTTCCCTTTTCTCCCCGACGGGTCTTCTGTTGTCCCCTTTCCTTCTGATTCCCCTTGGTCTCCTTGTTGTTTTTCCAACCCGTCTTTTTTCCCCGGAACCTGCCTTTTTTGTTACCCGTCTGCCCTAAACCCGACTGTCTCTGTTTTAACCGTCTTTTTGGGCCCCCTTTCCTCTGTTTTTAAAACCCCTTTCTGTCCTAAACTGACGTTTCTGTTTTTTCCCCTTTGTCTGTCTGACTGACTGTTTTCTTTTTGTTACCCTATTTTTGCCCCGACTGCCCTTTTGTTGTTACCCCCCCTGTCTTACCGACTTTCTTATTGTTACCCCGCTGTTTTGCCCCGCCCTGTTTTTCCGTTGAAAACCTTTCTGTCCTGACCGATTTGTCTCTTTGGGAAAACCCTTCTTCTGATCGACGGGTTCCTCTGTTTTACCCGGGGGGACTGACCAAACTGTCCCTGTTTTTACCTTTCTGTCGGGCCAACGTCCTCTGTTTTTTTTCCCCTGTTTTGTCATCGCTTTCCCTGTTGTTACCGCCTGTCTGA